CACTGGTGTAAAAGATGTGTTCTGATGTCTTACATTAAGACCAAACGTGGTACAATATGATTATTTTCCAGTACCTTGCTTTTTAGGTACCACTTCATGACATTTAGGAACTAGCAGTGGAAAATACAATGAATTGGAGAAGCAGAACTTTTTTTTTTAAAATGGAAAAGTCTTCCGGAAGTGTTACACCTTACAGTGTGATTTAGTCCATGAAACGCAGAATGAATATCTGGCCTGCCTATGGTGGTTACAGTGTAACTTCTGGCTGCAGACCACACAGGATAATGTAGTCTATATAGTACAAGTGTCAAGAGCACAGCTTCTATTTCATTTGATATATCTTGGCAATCATGCCAACTCAGGAGACCAAAAGGCCTATTTAAGTGAAGTCTGCTAGTCAACAAATGTGTTATTTCAGTCTTAGTGCTTCTCCTCTGGCTTTCTTTGACTGACGGTGGTTATAGGAAGTTAAAATAAAAGAATCTGCTCATTGGGTTTCTTTACCAATAAAACCTCTGAGGGTACTACGGAAAGCAAAAGGGATTCCTCCTTCAGCTATGTGCCCCAGAGCTCACTTCACCCTAAAAATCAGTATTAATGAATAGTGCTATTTTCTTGAAAAAGAAGGAAGTTTAATGTCCTTAGATGAACATGACCAAGTAAGTATACATCGCAATTAGATTAAAATGCAACGTAAGTTAAAAATTCTAAGCTTAACTTTTTCTTCAAGAATAGTATTATCAGAGTTTACAGTGAGTTAGCTTTGTATAACTTTACACAGCAAACCCATTCACAGCCTCATGGCCATATGTATTTAGATGTTTGGAGTAGATAGTGAATCATTTCATTCTCATTCTAAAACATTACTGACTTAACCATGTATCTTCTGTTTATCAGTCTGAAACTTGATTGTATGTACTAAGTAGACCACTCACAACATTGCAACCATTCTAAGACTTGGAATAGGATTTGCCGCGTATTACTTAAGTACTGTCCCATCTAAAATAGAGAATGTTACATAGTTGCATAGCCTCTTGTTTCCCACCAAAAAAAAAAAAAAAGGGAAAAGAATAGGAATACAGACTGTTTATAATATGCTGATATAGAAGCCTTAAAACTGCCAACGAGCTTGATGATTAAACTAGTAACCTAATTTCTTCCATACTTGCTCCTTGATTTTTAGATTCATTTTCCCAAAGCAAGGTTTGGTCACACAAGCATGAAAATACATTTAAAATGTTCTTAGTTGTCATTCTATTTTTATTGCCTATAGAATATGTGAATTTCTAAAAGCTAAGGGAAAGGCACCAAACTCCTGAATTCTAGTGCAATAATTTAATTAAATTAAGGCAAGAAAAAAAACTCTGACATGTTTTACCCCCCCCCAATTTAAGACTGGCTATAATTCAAAAGATAAAAAATAAAATTATGGAATGATTTGAAATCTAGTTTTTAAAAAAGGCATTAATGCAAGAGAAATTTTATGCTTAAGCCATCATGGCAATATATGCAAAGTTTAAATGAATGATGACAGAAATCTTGATTTTAGACTATATATTGTGCTGTTTTGAGTACACTTTATTTCAGAAAGTGATATTTAGTATTTTCTATACACTCTGAAATCATGAACATTTCACTTTTTCTAGGTCAATTATTTCATAAGGATTTTATTAATAGATATTGGTAAATAGAACTTTGGAAATCTTAATTCAGAATTCTTACTATACCTGAGGCTTTTGTAAGCTATAGTTTTATGTACAACCTTGTACAGTTTTTTTGACATACAATTCAGAATCTTGTTTATTCTCTTGGACTTTGTTCTGGCCAATACGTTTTTTTTAAATCTTTAAGAAAAACTGTGATTGTTTTAGTGGGTATTTTTCTAAGTAAATGAAAACTTGTATAATGGTATTTTAGAGAATGCCAGATAAGTGCATGTTTCAAGTTAACGTTTTTCTCATCACTTGTATGTTTATACACAGCATGGAACTTTAATAAAACCATCCTGGAAACGTAAGGATTGTTTTTCTTCTAAAAATGTAAGATGGCATAATTTATTTTCTTGTCCTCTTATTATTTGCTTATTGTAGTGAACTAATTTATCATCCTCTCACCCCTCCTCTTTCACAATCTTCAGGTTCTACATTAAACATGACTCTACTTTGGCAAATCTCAATTCACTTATCTTTTAGCATCACCCATGCAAAAATGGCTGAAAAGGGTAATGAAATAGTTTAAAAGAGGCAATAGGATAGCTTATACAGCTTAGTATACCTACCATAAAACTTTTCCCAGATGTACAAGTATAATAATTTATTACATAATTTACAGGTACAAAGTGCAAATCACTTGACACCTTTGTTCTTTCTTTCTTTTTTTTTTTT